TCATTAATTTATCTGCACTGGTTACTCAGTATAATGTCACTTTTAGAATTTGCATGAGGGGCTTCATCCTATGTTAAAAATATTGATTAAGTTTTGGCTCAAAAATCTTGTATTTACCATCAATCTAATTAATAATAAATTGAGAATCCCTAAAATTCTTGGTTTCTATTATATCCATGAGAATGCTTAATTCAAAGTTTAACCTCAAAGCTTCCTATTCAACTTTGTTATAAGTGAAAAGCTCTAATAAATTGTAGGAAAAGCATAATATTCACAAATTCAAAGTAATAAAAAGCAATAAAATTTTTTACTTTGCTAGGGATGATTGTTTGATGATTTTCAGCTTTTTAAGAACTTGAAACTCAATTAAAATACATCTTCCAATAATGATTGTTTTATTTTTCTAAATACATAACTTGTTCATCGTGCAAGTTACAATTTAGAGGTGAAATTGTAAGAAGCGATTGTGTTACAAGAAAGTTGATCAATGTCTAACCTTTCACAACATGTAAGAAAATAAAGGTTATATCAAATTACAATAAGATCATTATTCATATTACTAGCTCGAAGATAAAATTGAAAGAGTCACTAAATATTATAATGGATAAAACATTAAAATAAAGTTGAACTTTTGAGAATGCATGTAATACCGAAACTTGTGGACTATAAAAATTAAAGCTAAACAATTTTTTTCAATCAAAGGATACTTCAACTCCATACCATTTAGACAATGATTTAAGTAAAATTATTTTTTTTTCTCATTATTGTCATAGGCCAACATAACTCTTACAACATCGTCTAACATCTTGGTGTGAAGTATAAAAGGTTTATCCAAAATAGGGGTTGTTTGTTCATTTGGTATCAATAGATACTACTTTGTAATTTCAAATGTTCTTTTGATATTTTTCATCTCAAGTAAACTTCACATCCTTTTTAATAAATCTAATAAAATCCACACGCCTTCAAGAAATATTAAACATAAAGTGTATGAGGTGTGTTAGCTTTCCATGAAATGATCTTAATTGATTTAAAATTTTAAGAGGTAGTTTATCCACTTTAATGTTCTAGGGATCAATCATAATTCCATAGTTTTCGATAAGTAACCCTAAAGTCTCACTGCTTTTGATTTATTTTGAGATTATATTGACACATCCGCTCAAACACAATTCTCACATCAAGTAAGTGGTCTTCCTTTTCTTTGTTACTGATCACTAAATCGGTAATTTGGTTATGTATGAGTTCATTTGAAATTTTAGTCTTGAATCATTGGTATGTTGAATCAATATTTTTAAAATTTAATGGCATGGGCTTATAACAATAAATATCAACGGGTGCTCACAATGTGGTACACTTCTCATACTCATGCACTATTTTAATATATTTATAATCGAATGAGAAAATTACATGAGAAGAAGTAATGTCAACAATAAGTTCTTTTTTAAGTAACAAAAATCCATCTTTCAAATAAACTTTATTCAAATCTCTGAGGCCGATGCAAATAAAATTTTTGCCATTCTTTTTCATAACTGACACCACACTAACTAACCATGATGGATTTTTCTCCTCTCATATATAAAAAACATCAATAAATTTCTTACCCTCATTTGTTATTTGCTATTTATTGTCTAAGTAAATGTGTTGAGGAGTTTTCTTCAAAGGAATAACATTTACATCTATCATGAGTTTTTGTTCTCTAAATGCAGAAGATAATCAAGACATCACATCATATGTCTAAGAAAAATAGTCTTTAAACTTTGTGAATAGTCTAACCAGGTCATTTGCTTTATTTTCACCAGATAACATGCTTATAAATGTTGGTTGGAGATCCTTTAATATTCCCAGGTTAATCACTGTTAATCTAAAATTTTAGATTTGATTTCTTCCCCCAATTTTGGGGGTGCATCCTCAATTGAAATGTTTTTAATATCTTCCAACATTTCTATATAGTCATCACAAAAGATCTCAGTCTCTTCTATAAATGTCAAGTCAAATTTCACATAATCTTTAGTGATTAAGCATTACTCAGTATCATCAACTAGTCCAATTGTTCTAAATCAAACACCTACATTTGTTTTATTATTATGATGAATATCATCCCTTTGTTTATCCAAGTTTTATGATTCATATTTGGACCACTTTCGTGATATCAATTTGTGTTTAGAAAGATTTTATATATATTGGAAATATCAATCAATGAGAAGTTCCATTAGTTCTTGAAAATGATTTTCTTCTACTTTTATTTCTATGCTAGAACTAGAAGAAGATCTATGATAAAATTTGATCACCTTGTCATTATTTGTATGTGTTTTCTTCACCTTTAACCTCTCAATCTTGTCAAAGTTAGTAGGGTCAGGGTAAAAGCCTACACATGACTTTATTTTCTCATACATCATTTGTTCTTGTTTTTTTCTTCATCTTCCATATCTAGTAAGATTTCAAATTTTGGTTTTCTTTTGATGTTCATTAGTACATTGTTTCTTATCATATTTATTCTCTAAGATTGAATATATGTCAATACTAATGATTGGAGTGTATTTTTGGCATATTTATTTTTGTTATTCTTATTACTCGTCCATTCCCTTAACAGTTCTTGAGTAACCTTAACCATCTCATTGCACTATAGTGGTGGGAGGTTATTGTATTATTATTAGATAGTTTTCAATCTTATTTTCTCCATTTTTATTTTCTTTCTTCCTTTATTTTTCTTATTTTGTACTTGCAATGATATCTATAGAGAAATCTACTTGCTTCCTCAGTGCTACTACGTTGCATTTATATAGGTTCAAACTTCATGAATTTAAAATAGTCACATATCATCTTTTAATTAGTATTCTGATCATTCATACCAATGCTTGATGTAATGATGGAATTAAGATGGTATCATTTTGTGTTGCATAACTACGGTTGGCTTGACTTGTATTTTAAAGGAATCTCTGAATCTATTATGTGAAACTTTGTACTTTTTACCAACTCACTATTCTTCAATACGAGAGTTACTGAATAAAGAGCTCCCTCACCCTTCTCATTGAAGTCAGGTAAAATCATTTATTATTAAGTTAGCATATGATAGTTATAGTTAAGGTATGCAATACTTCTAAAATTATTTATGTTTAATGATGTACTTGGATCAACAAAAACTCATGACTACATGAACCAATCCATATTTATAGAAATGTAAAGTAGAGAGTTATGGTTTGTTGTGTCAAACAGAAAATCTTCATCTGAGAACATAACCTTAGGAGCTTCTTTCAAGAAGATATATGCCTCATCAAAGAAAGTGCCAACTAATTCAAATAAATTAAGGACTTAGTCAGCCTTTTACTAATGACTCGCTCACTTTCCTAGATGGCATATATTTATGGACTATTTTTTACCTTAAAAAAATTGCTAAACTTTTGTAGTGACTTAAACTTCATTCTTTACATGCATTCCACTCAATTCATATGTATCTAAAACCCAAACTTCAATTTTTACATGCCATCCACTCAATTCTTATATATTACATTTTTAACCCTAAACTTCAATGTTTTCATACAAACCACATTTATTATGTATTGCATATCTAACACCTAAATTTCAATTTTTGGATACAAAACACACAATTCTTTTGTATTACACTCCCAAGGCAGGAACTTCAACTTTTTCATACAAACTACACATTCCATATGTACTACATATCTAACATCTAAACTTCAATTCAAGCAAACCACACATTCTTTATGTACTACATATTTATTTCAAAACTTCAATTCTTAAAAACCACACAATTCTTATGCATTACATATCTAACACCAGGATTTCAATTTTTACATATATGCCACGCAATTCTTATGTATTACATACCTAACTCGGAACATTGAATTTTTCATAAAAAATGCACATTCCTTATATACTACATATCTAACACATAAACTACAACTTGTACATACAACCCCAACAATTATTAGAGACCAATTTTTTTCTGTAACTTAATGTCAATGCTGAATCTTATTTATATATATTGCGTCGCTCGCCATGACTTTTTGCAACTTATACATACAACCCAAACAATTATTAGAGACCAATTTTTTTTCCGTAACTTAATGTCAATGTTGAATCCTATTTATATATATTGCGTCGCTCGCCATGACTTTTTTGGTAGTGTAGCCTAGTGTGAGTTCTCCCGGGTCATAGGTTTGATCCCGTCTAAGTGCATCTGTCTTGCAGTGCAGAATCGAGTGTTTAGGCACATGAGGGTGGGCGGGGGCTCGTATCATAGCCTCCATCCATTCTTTTTCAAAAGAATATATAGTAGAATCGAGTGTTTAGGCACACGAGGGTGGGTGGGGGCTCCTATCATAACCTCCATCCATTCTTTTTCAAAAGAATATACATATATATATATATATATATATATGTAAAATTCCAAAAAAAAAAACTCTATAATAAAAAAGGAAGATAAAATATATAATAATATATATATATATATGTAGATTACCTTACAATTCAACAAACTTCAACTTCTTACCCATAATTAGCATAAAAAAATTTATTTTTTGAAATTAAACACGAGAAAACATAATCATCTATAATCAAAGATAAGCAGATTTTCGTTCTACATATTCTTGTTAAATTTCGATTTTGATGGATCTTAATATCATTAAACTTACTTTTAGACAAATAAAATATAGATTTAGATTAATTATCAACATGAATTAATCTCTAATGTAAAATTAACATTTTCTTAATATTTTTTCAATAAATTATCAATGAAAAATATAATAATCAAATTATTATATTCTAGATTCAAGCCAATGATATACACATCATATATGACAGTAAGAAAACGTGCCTCTTCCCTTACCTTCTGCTTCTAAACAAAGATTCTTCCCATTGAACCGCCCTTATAATAGCCTTTGTCTCTCTTTAACTTTCCAAGTCTCCTAAATTCAAACTTCCTTCTCTCTTCATCACCTTCTTCTTACATTTCTTGCACCCATATTCCTTATTCTGGTGCAACTATGGTCCAATCTCTCTGTTTGCCTCCTGGCTTCAGATTCCACCCAACAGACGAAGAGATCATAACTCACTATCTCTTTGAAAAGATCACTGATCAGAACTTCAAATCTATAGCCCTGGGTGAAGCAAGCTTCAACGATTGCGAGCCTTGGGATCTTCCTGGTAATCTAAGTTTTCCTACTATTTATCATTCAAAAAAACTTTCTTAGCTTATAGAAATCTATGATTGGGTCAATCTTATTTTTTGTAGGTAAAGCGAAGATGGGAGAGAAGGAATGGTACTTCTTTTGCCAAAAAGATAAAAAATATCCAACGGGCATGAGAACTAATAGGGCAACAGCAACAGGGTACTGGAAAGCTACAGGAAAGGACAAGAAGATCTTTAAGGGGAAGGGAGTCCTCGTTGGGATGAAGAAGACTTTAGTTTTCTACAGAGGAAGATCTCTGAAAGGGCTGAAGACCAATTGGGTCATGCATGAGTACAGACTTGAAGGAACATTGCACCAATACTATAATCTCCCTTCTCGCAAGGTACCTTTATATTATATATCTTCTGTTATATCTACAGTTATCAAACTAATCCATTTTATGAATATAAAGTTATTATTATATAGTATTGGCCTCTAAGTGACTGTACGGAGAACCTTTCTGCATTGATTTTATTTAGAGCTGGGTTGCATGATAAATTTTTGTTGTGATTTCTTTCTGGTAACATCTAGTCTAGTCATCGTTGGCTTCTTATTTTTTATTTCAAAGCTTGGGTGCATGTTTTTGTGTTGCGTATACAGATCAGTTGGTCGGGCATCTTCTTGTCAGTTGTAAGTTTTCTCTGGTCTAGGATTCGATTCCCCCTGAGTATAGGGTGTGATCCTTGAATTATCAGCCCATAAAGGATGGCCGGGGATTGTATCATAACCTCCGGCCATTCTTTTGTTAATATATGTATATATATATATATCTGTCCAAACTCCATGATGCGAAATTGTTGATGAATCTTTGCAGGATGAATGGGTGGTTTGCAAGGTGTACTATAAGAAAGGTTCAGAGATACGAGCCACAGCACAATCAGAAGAAAGAATGAACCCTTCTTCTTTCGTGGATGATGACCTTTCAGTTGAGCTAAATTATTTGCCTCAGCTTACCGATTCACTTTACATCAACATTTCCAGCAGCAAATTCATGAAGGAAACAAACGAAACAGGAAATGAAATGAATCGGGCCATGCAGTTCGAATTGATGCCGCCGGATCAGCCAGCTGTGACGAGTCATTTTCCTCAGGATACAGGAATGTGTTATATTGGCAGCTTTCAGGCACGAGATCAAGACCCTTTTGCATACGTGCAATCTGCTGACTTTGATGGCTTCTGGAATCGTGATTTGTATTGAAGATCTTGGTGATCATTTTTCAGTTTTATGTGGTTAAATGTCTGTATATGTTTGTTATAACAAAAATGATGGCTTCTTTGAAATTGTATTTTTTTTCTTAAATTGTGATTGTTTCTTTAATCATTATTGGTGCAGAAGACGAAATGTGAAAGGGTGTGTAAACAGAAAATTTGGTTGGTCTATATTTGTTTGTGAAACAATATGTATATATATAAATGAGGGGTTCCATTGACATAATATATATATATATAAACCTATAAAATTAGTAAAAAACTAATATTAATAATAAATTTTATTAACTAATCATATTTAAGTTTAATACTATTTTAGAGGGTTAAAAAGAGGTTAGAGTTTTAAAGTTTAAATGCTTGCCACTATTTCGCCACCCTTCGTGTTAAATTTTAGTTCTGATATTGTTTGTCATAATACATGTTGTATTTAATGGGTTTATTATAATTGAGATTTTTTTGCTGTTTTCCTTATATTCTCTAAGCCTCCTCTACAAAAGGGGAGTTAGTGTTCATGAGAGATGTGTGAGGTGTGTCGAAGTTGTAACCCAAGCGTGTTTTCTTTCTCCCTATCTCGTGCTAGAGGAATCTTCCTTCTCATGAACGTGAATGTAGACTAATCAACTTGATGCTGAACCAGGTAAATTTTTTTTATTTAATTGTTGTTGTGTGAATTTTTACGCTTACGCATTGTTTTCATATAACATTGATATTAGAGTTTTAGGTCCGTGATCGAAGCATGGTTCAGCCTCAATAGTATCAAATCTGGCATGTGATGGCTTTTGTTGTAGTTGGTGGTCCAACGTGCTTTATCTATTGATTCAGAGGTTTGACAATATGGCTCGAATAGGAAGATCCGGTGCTCTAATCAAGGAGGGATCGTGGCAGTAAGATTCTGGTGGCGGTTCGACGTGGTCTAGTGAGCTCCAACAGAAGGTTTGGTTGTCTAACTATATGCTGCAGTTCCAGTGAAAGGTTCGGGTGCGTAGTGGCTTTTCGACTATGGGATCAACGTGGAACAATTTGATGGAATTTTGGTGGGGATCTCACGTGGATTGTGAAGAAGAAACATATTATGCTAGATAACTTCTTTTGGAAAAGAGATTTCAACGATGATAGCCATGAATGATAATATGGTGTCTTATTCTTTAACATCCACTAAGGCGGTGGAAAAGTCGATTCATCTGGCGGAAACATATTCCATCAAAATTGATGTGATGAAATTTGATAGCAAAAGAAACTTTTTCATGTTGCGATGTGAGCTGATGAATATACCGTCTTTTTTAAATCTAAAGGAATTTCCGGATTGCAAGCAATGTCCTGAAAAGATGTCAGAAAGAAATTGGTTGAATATCAACTTGAGTGCTTGTAGCTTAATAAAAAATTGTTTAACCCAAGAAATCAAATATGGGGTGATGATGAAAACTTCTATAAGGAAATTGTGGAAGATTAAGGAGAACAAATATACTATGAATAGCGTGGAGAACCATCTTCATATGAAGCGTCGATTCTTTACATTTCAGGTGAGACAGGGCGTTACTATTGATGATCACTTGAATGATTTCACAAAGCTATTAATAGATCTGTTAAATTTAGACGAGAAGATTGGAGAAGAAGACAAGAAGCTTCTTTTGGAAAATTTTCTCCCATATGAGTGTGAAAAACTTATTTTGACACTCATTCATGGGAATGAGGTATTGAATTATGACAAAGTGACTACAAGAATGTTGAATCATGAGTTCCATCAAATGAGCAAGAAGTCCGCAAAGATGGAATCAACTGAGGCACTCACACTTCAATGTGACAGATCTGAGAGGAAGAAAAATTAGACAAAGAAATGTAGCAATGGGACAATTCTCAAAAGAAATGTAGCAATGGAACAAGTCTTTGTATGAGTCGAAGAAATCACCTAGGCAGTGAATAAAACATTTGATCAGTTCATGAAGTGATTGGAGTATACAAGGAGCCAGTATAATCACTATGCATACTTCAAGAAGTTGGTCAATGATAATTTCATTTATTTGCTTCTATATGTTGATATTATGTTGATTGCAACTGTTAGTTTGATTAAGGTTGATAGGATAAAGAATCAAATGCCCAAACATTTCAAAATGAAGAAGCTGGGTGAAGCTCACATAATTCTTGCATGGAGATTCTCAAGAACAAGGCAGCTAGAAAGGTTTGGCTCTCACAAGGAGCTTATCTTCAAAAAGTGCTAAAGAAATTTGATGTTGATGACTCAGATAAGGAGTTGAGTTTACCCATTGCATCTAACTTTCAATTAAATTTAGATCAGTGTCCTAAAGATGATCAGGAGAGGAAATATGTGTGATCGATTCTTTATGTCAGTGCAGTGGGAACTGATGTATGCCATGGTTTATACTATACAAAATATTACACAAGTTGTTTTTGCTATGAACAAGTTCATACATGATCCAGGAAGGATGTAAAGTGTATTCTAAGGTATCTAAATGGTACAGTTGATGTTGGCTTAGTGTTTGAGATGCATTCATCTATTGCAGATTTGTGTATAGGTTATACTGACTCGGACTTTGCAAGTGATATGATAAAATAAGATCTACTACTAGCTATTTATTTACATTGTTAGGTGGTCCAGTCAGCTGGAGGTTGATTTTTCATTATAATGTTGTTTTGTCTACTACAGAGGCTGAGTACATGGCAGTCACAGAGGCAATGAAGAAGGCAATATGAATGCAGAGCCTATTGGATGAATTAGAAGTTCATTAGGAATCTCTAATGATGTTCTATGAAAGTCAGAATGCAATATTATTTGCCACAAATCCAGTTCATCATGCTCATAGTAGCACATTGATGTGATGTACCACTTTTTTCCAGGACTTGATTGAAGAAAGCAAGATTATGTTGAAGAAAATAGACAAGAAGGAGAATCTAGCAGACATGCTTGTGAATATACTGCATATACGGATGTTCACCTACTGCAGAAATTTGGTGAACATCCGAGCTTAGGACTGACTGCCCATTAGAGCATTTTGAAGAACTGTGCAAGGCTTGATTCTTTTGGGAAGGGGGGCACGTATGGATTGTTATATTTAATGGGTTTATTATAATTGGCTTGTTTATTTTTTTATTCCTTTCCTTATATGCTCTAAGCCTCCTCTATAAATGAAGACTTAGTATTCATTAGAGATGTCTGAGATGTGTGGAATTTGTAACCCAAGCATGTTTCCTTTCTCCCCATCCTGTGCTAGTGGAATCTCCTTGCCCATGGACATAGGCGAATCAACTTGTCGCTGAACCACACAATTTTTTTTGTGTTTGATTGTTGTTGTGTGAATTTCTATGTTTCTTCATTTTTTTCATATAACAATACATTTGATGATGCCAACCTTCTCTATTTTGGCATGCTTACGTATGCTCTCATTAAAAACCCATGACATCAAACCCTATTTTTATTTTGCATTTGTTTCGTATCTATTCAAATTTGATTTGATTGTCTCAAAAATTTACCATCCATCAAAATTACCTCTTTTAATATCATATTTTTGTCATCTCAAAATAATTCTATATTCTTTTGTTCAAATGTCAAAACTATTGGCTAGCACAAATATCTGACTCGCTGTTAAAATTAACAAATCACACAGGAAAATCGCTAAATAAATTTGTATACAAGCAAGAAAAGTTGACATTCTCATTAGTAATCTTCCAATATCTTCTAAACAAGTTATTCATCATGCACTCCAAGCCTCTAAGCATCTCTTTCTTTTTCTTCAAGTTTCTTGATTAGATGATTAATTATGTTTATTCATGATTTCTCTGTTGTGTTGTATATATACATACATACATATATATATATATATACATACATGTTATATAATATAACATTGGGTATATATGGCTTTCATTGAATTGATTGGAAGTGAAGAAGCCTGTTTTGCTTCAGCGCATTAGCTTACTTGGCCCCGCCAACTTCCCAATAGGATTTGAAGATTTTAGACCAAATCTCTCTCGCTATCGTGCAGCAGGCAGTTAGATCCACTTCTCTATAAGAAAGAAAAATTCTTCCTCTCTCACAAAAATATAGCCTTAGCGCGCGCTCCCCTAATTTCACCTAATTTATGTTGTTTTCTATACTATTTATTTTAGCACATACATTAAACCTTCTTTAATAATAAGTTAACAATAATAATCTTCCAATCAAGGACAATTTAGCCATGATTTGATCATCTAATTTCGTTAATTTTTATTTTTTAATTTTCTAGCACCAGAAAAGTTGTCAGAAAACTATTTACATACAAGCAAAAAAATTTTAATTTGTAATTCAAGTCTAAAATTTCCTTGCTGTTATGTAAATGGGGTTTTTGGCAGCTTTTTAAGCTAATAATAATAAAAGACCAGTCCTTCTTTCAAGGGGGTCGTTATAAAATATTTTAGGTATTTTACATATGCAAGTCTGTCGCTCGACAGTCCTATGACTGAGTTGTTTGTTTAGCAAGACGCCAGCTCAGTAAGGGCAGTTTGGTCGGCTTGATTGAAAAGCTGGTCAACTGAATTCGATTAGATTCAGGTCTGCAGGACTTGCTTGAAAACTATGGTTTGTTGATTTGTTGGTTTAGTATAACTATTGACCCATGGTCACAATTAACAAGAAGAGGAGTTCTTGTCAGCAGAACAGGACTAAACTATCGAGCAAAATGTTGATCAACATAACTAGATAAATAACGCATTCTTCGTCAAGGGAGGTCCTTCGGGACATTGAGTGACTCTGTTGCCTGATTGAAATGAATAACATTGCAATAGTAGGAATGGTTGGGTTGCTATTAAAAAGTAAAATCAAAACATAATTATTAAATCATTAAAAAAAAACCCTTTTATTTTAGAGGAGAAAATACCATGTGCGGGATTTGGTGTTGCCATCACGAAACCCAAATCTAAAACTTTGAAACCCCAAATAATATAAAATACTAATTAAGTCATATGACGCCATTAAATTTGTCTTTTTATGTTTGAAAC